CCTCCACTACCGAAGTGCCCCCAGCCTCTCCTGGCTAAGGCACCACCACTGCTGTCTGGGCCCATGCCTGGGCTCTCCCTGGTTCTAACACCACCACGGTCCTTGGCTTTGCCCTGCACACCCTGTACCCCCTACCGACCACCACCCCAACCCATCCCCAAAGTAGCCCAGCTGACTGTTCATCCTCAGCATCTTTCACTCCTCCTCTCAAGGAGCCTTGGGGATTTCTATGGATGTCTGCCATGCCCCGCTGAAGGCAGGGGAGGGGATGTTTCCTGAAGGCCTCTCTGCCCGTGCATGCCACACTGCCATTTCTACTGCACTGATGCTCTACCAGCACAGAGCAAGATGGTCTCCTCCTAGAATTCCAAGTGGGAAGCAAAACACCAGCCGCCTGCTCTGCGGTTCCCAAAACTAACTAAGCCTCCTAACTATGTCCTCCCTCAGCCAATACAACACAAGGCTTTGTCTCCAGAGGATAAGAGGGTGTAGGGAGCAGGTCTCGATTTGGGTCTAAATGCTTGGTCACCACAAAACTGTCCTACCAGGGTCCTCCTTATGCCTGCTGCTGATTCCTCCACCCACCCCAGCCCAGCTCCCAGAAGGGGCTTTTCCTTTCCATTTTCATATTCTCTCCTTACTACTCTGGATTTTAGTAAAACTGTGTGCTCTCACTCCCTAGACTCTGATTCTTGGTATTTTTTAGGGTGACTTTTAAAACTTAGATAAATCTTTCTGAACAAACCCTGATTCTAACCTTCACCAGTATTCCTCTGAAATGAATTTTAGGAACCAGTTTCTGGACGTTGAAAGATGAATGTCCTTTCCTTATTCTCAGCTAGTTCTGTCATCCCCCTGGTACAGTGGATGCCTCCACCTCCAGGAAGGAGGGGCCCAAGGCAGCCAGGTTTACCAGGACTGGAAAAAGGCATCAGAGAACTCTCAGCTTCTGGGCAGGTGTGTGTATGTTGGGGAGGGGGGTGGTGTCAGGCTGCCTTCTTTGGATCAACTCTCCCACTAAAAACAAAAATAAATGGTAGGTAGAACATTTTTCAGATCTCACTGTTAAAGCCAAAAAGTGGGGATGTCTCAGACCAGCCGAGAGACAAACACCTATAACCAGGGCGGTAAGTAAGCAGGCTATTAGAACATCAGAGCCACTGATGGCCCTGTGGGCACTTGCCAGTGCTGCTCACCGAAGCTTTGAATCAGTGGCCATACAAGCCAACAAAGAAACAAGTCCAAGGCTTGGTACTAAGGCAAGCTGAAGAAGAAAAAGGCAAATGAAATACCAATAGGAAGAAATGGCCTCACATCAGCCTTTGCTCAGATTTGCAGCCCTTTGCCTGAATTAGTCCAAGAAGCTTAAGTCAACAACTTCATTTAAGGTCATCCATGACTTTTAATAACTCCAGGGACCTGGGAAACAGAAACATGAAGCTTCTCTGGAGGAGGGCATATCTATCTGATGCCTGGGGAAGCCAAGCCCCCCAACAAATGATTCGTCAGGGGCCTTGACCCAAAAGTAGTCAAAAATCACATAAAAATCACACCGTCATTTCAAGAGTTGGCAGAGAAACTGTTTGATAAAATTCCTTTATGACAAAAGCTCTTAAACGGGGAATAGCTGAGAATGTGTCTTAAAGTAACCTATTTGTCAGGATAGACCAGGTTAGTCTACCATAACAAATCCCCCAATTTTAAGAGCTTGGCACATTAAAGAACGTTTCTCTCTCATCAGATAAATCCCATGTAGATCCTGAAGAGCCACAGGGCAATTCCCTGCCCAGCTGTGTCTCAGGAATCCTAGTAGGCCCCACCCATGGCTTTGCTTCCTTAATTATAGCTTTCAGACTCACTATAGAAGAGTAGGAGGGTCAGCAAGAGTTTTTATGGCCAAGTCTAGATGGGCCGTACATCACTTTCACCACATCCCGTGGACTACAGCTCAGTGAGATCACAGGGGGGGAATTTCAAGAAGAACAGTTATATTAGCTTCCAGTGTGCCCAGAAAGGGGGGGAAAAAGAGTTTTAATGGGCACATGGCATTGTCTCTGCCACAACTGCAAAAGGATATCTACAGAAAACTTGCAGCAGACATCGTATATAATAGTGACACTCAAAAGCTTTTCCTCTGATAGTTGCAATAAGGCAAGGAGGCCCGCTAACACCACCTCTATTCGGCATCATGCTAGAGGTCTTCAATGGTGCAACGAGAAAAACAAACAAAAGGCAGAGGGACTGAAAATACAGTAAATTTGTCAGTATTTTCAGATGGTATATTTTGGACACAGAAGATTCAAAAGACTACAGATACTAGAATAAGAGAGTTTAGCAAGGTTACTAGATATGCATCCAGGATGCCTAAATCATATCTCTATATATTAGCAACAAACAGAATAAAAAGTATTTTTTAAATGCCATTTATAGGAGGAATGGGAATAAGTTAGAAAAGATGTTTAGGCTCTCTATAAGAAAAACTGTAAAACTTTATTTAGGAATATTTAAGAAGATCTAAACAAATGGAAAGATATATCATGCTTGTGGATTGGAAGGCTAAAAATTGTAAAGACGTGAGTTCTCCCTAAATTAAATTACAAATTCAGTTCAATTCCTATCCAAATTTCAGCAGGTTTTTTCAGGGTGGGGCAGGGGCAAGGAGAGGTGTTTCATTTGTGGAATTTGACAAGCTCGTTCTAAAATTTATATGGAAAAGACAAAAAGTCAAGAATTGTCAAGACACTCTTAAAGAAGAGCTAGGTGGGAGGATTTGCTTAACCAGATACCAAGATGTGTAATAAAGCTATATTAAGCCAAGCAGTGTGATGTTGCACAGGGCCAGGCAAATAGGGCAAAGAACAGAACAGCAGAGAAGCAGGCCCCTTAAACAGATGAACACTTGACGTTCGACACATGGGTGGCAGAGCATAGCAGCAGGGTGGACAGGGGCTTTCTGATAAACATTGCTGGAATAATTGACTATTCAAATGAAAAATAACTTAATAGGATTCACATCGTGCACAAAGACCCAAATGTGAAAAAACAAAACTATAAACCTTTTATGAGATAATATAGGAAAATGTCTTCATAACACAAAATGCACTGGCCGTAAAGGAAAAAACTAACAACCCAACCCAACTACATTAAAATTAAGAACTTTCGTTTTCCTTTTTTTTTCCCATTTTCAAAGGATTCCATAAAAAAAGAATAAGGCAAGCCATAAAACAAGAGGGTATTTATGACTCATATAACCAACCAGCAAAAGGCTAGCATGTAGAATATGTAAGGAACTCTAAGAATCAATGATAAAAAAGCAGACAACACAAAATATGGGCAAAAGATTTGAACAGGCACTTCACAAAAAATTTAAGCCTGAATGCTTAATAATATATATGAATAATGTTCAGCCTCACTAGTAAGCAGGAAAATGAACTTTAAAACAACAATGAGATATAATTACACATCTCTCAGATTGGGAAGACCCTGATCATAACCTCGTGTGGCATGGCCTGGAGCAAATAAAATTCTCCTACACGGCTGGTTGGAGGGTAAATAGCTACAACCACTTTGGAAAACGGTCCGGCATTATCTAGTAAAGGTGCAGACACACCTGCCCTATGACTCAGCAGGTCCACTCTTGGATGTGTGTCCTAAGAAATGCATGCCAGTGTGTGTGTGCACAGGAGACTTGTGGAAGGATGTCCATAGCAGCGCAGTTTGTAATTGTCCAAAACCAGACTCAAACCAAGTCCATCGACAGTAAAAGAGATCAATTATTTAGTATATAATCTTACAATGGAAGGTTATGCAGCAATAAAACTGGTTGGATTACATGAATTTTATTTATGTAAAGTGAAAAAGGCTGAACAAAAGAATATATTCAGTCTGATTCCATTTATACAAGTTTCAGAAGGCAAATGAATCTATGTTTTTTAAGGCTAAATACATGGTAAAGCTATAAAGGAAAGAGAATATTATAAAAGTCCGAGTGAGGCTTGTGGTAGGAACATCTGGTGTGCCCGAAGTGCTTGTATCTTAAGCTAGATGATGATGAAAGCAGGATATACTTTATAACTCTGTCAACCCATATGTGTTTTGGGTTCTTTTATGTGCATGTTATATTTATAATACAATTTTTAAAAATATATCACATCCTAAATAAAATATCATCCCACTACATAAGGATTCCCTAATATCTCTCCTTAGCACAAGGTCCTGCCAAGCAGGTATGATCCCATTTCATATACAGGAAAACTCAAGTTCAAATGACTAAATATTTTATTTTTCCAGATAGGTTGGTAATTGCTGAGGGTGCACTAGGGAGTGATGGAGCTGGAGCCCCCACCCAGGGCTTTTGGGGTCCTGTTCAGACTCTTTACGTGTTGTTTCTCTGTAGCTTCCACAGTGTCACTATAGCTCTGAACTTCAAGTGTTCCATTCTCCAGTCCCTGAGCCATACCACATCACTTACCAGCACAACCCACATCTTTCCCAAAGTAGGCCTTCCCATTCCTCCTAGACCCACCACTTCCCATCTCCTTCCCACCTCCCACCTACCTGGTCCATGCTCCATCCCATCCCCTCATCTTTGATTCACAAGACCCCCTATTTGGGCATAAGAAACTGCACATCACTGTTGTCCCATACATGATTAGAGGATGATAGTGCCTCTGTTAAGTCCTATGCAGGAGGAGGTCATGATGTGCCTCCACCATATTCTGACCCTAACTGTCCACACTGCTATCTGGGCACCTTGTCTGGGCACATCCTCACAGCCTTGCTCTGTTCAGGAGAAGTATGACTCGGGGTCAACTGGAGAAGCGCGTGGCCCCTGGGGCAGCATTTACCCTTGCCTGAGGGAGCTGGCCCAGCAGGAGAGAATGCCCTAGTCTGTTCCCACTCAGGATGAGGCCCAGAGAGTTTCGCACCTGCCTGGATTCAGGCGGCCAGGTACTCAGCGTTGGCACATAACACACACCACTGCTCTCCCTTGCCTAGGAATGTACCAGGTGATCGGGGGTATCATCTCTCCTGTCAATGACGGCTACAGGAAGCAAGACCTCGTGGCTGCCCACCACCGGGTGGCCATGGCCCGGCTGGCCCTGCAGACGTCCGACTGGGTCCAGGTGGACCCCTGGGAGAGTGAGCAGGTGCAGTGGATGGAGACAGTGAAGGTGCTGAGGTAACAGTGGTCATGCTTTTGTGTGATGACCAGGGGTCACGGGACACATCTGCAGAGCCCAGCGGGTGAAAGTAGGGACCAGGTATGAAGTGGGGCTTCAGCCAGTCTTTCTCAGCCAAGATCCCAGAAGTGCTTCCTCTCAAAGGGAGAGAGACCCACAGACCTACTCTCAAAGAGGGTCTGAGTGAAAACAATCACAACCCACTGCCCGTCAGGAAGCACTTTCTGGAAACGCCCATCTTGTTTCAGAGGGCTGTCTCCTTGGGCGCCAGGGCGACCCCCTAGTAGCTGTGAGACTAGGCGCTTACTTCTCTGAGACACATTTCTCACTTGCAAAATGGGGACAATAAAACCTAATGAGGACTTTTTAAATGTAAAGAACTTTCCTGTCCCAGAACTCCTAGAACGTTCACTAAGTGGGACCTTCTATCATTGTCGTCATTGACTAGGTTGCAAACTGCATCTAGATCATAAGCCATCTTTAAAAAAAAAATAAATCCTGGGCTCTATAAATCTCAGCTTTTATGTAAAATTGAAAAAAAAATAAAGGCTATACATCTAGAAAGTTGCTCAGGATCTTTTTCTTTTGGAACTGCTGTTAGCACCCAGCAGAAGTAATTGGCGCTTTTTTTAAAAGCCCTGGGAGCCCTGCATGCTGGGGCAGTGGGTCACCGGCTTGTGTCTGGGAAGGTGTCCTGGGAGTTTGCTGGAGAAGCAGGAAGCCCCGCCCAGCCTGGAGGTCAGAGGGGACGGGGAGGTGGGGCTGCCTGTCACTAAGTCGGCTCCACCGAAGGGATTGCAAACTGCGGGCTTGTGTCTTTTTATCTATTTGGAAGCAGTAGGATTGTCAGGGCACAGGAAGCCCAAGGGACAAGGTCCAATAATTGGCAGGCCTGTTCATCATACATCGATTTAGGTTTTCATTTTTTACTCATCTTCACAGCCACTTGGTTGAAAACTGTTTACCTTTTTCTCGTAGTAAAGGTAAACATTTAGTTACATATCTTGGCTCTGATTATTTGCCCTTTTCTTGGGAAGGAACCAGCTAGAAGCATTCAGCAATTCAGTGCTACTTCAGAGCCTCTCGCCAAATTAAGAGCAGCAAATATGAAATGATTGTTAGAATCCATGCACTTTTTTTTAACATAAAGAATAAATTTACACCTAGATCATCCCTTCAGAGCAAGCAATATAGCCAGCTCTCATCGATCAAGGATAGCAGAGGGGAAGACACACGAATCCAGCAAATCATTTAGCTTTAACATGTAGTCACAAAGACGCTTTCCTCCTCCACCCTGTGAGAAGCAGTGTGGCCTAGGGCCCAGATTTTGTAGCCCAGTTTACTAGCTCATTGACTTGATGTAAGTGAATTAGCCTCTCTGAGCCTCAATTCCTCACCTAATAAAATGAGGATGATGCCACCTGCTTCTCTGGGGTACTGCCTGAATTAAATGGGATGATGTGGGCAAAATACCTGGTTTACGGTAGGGGCTTCATAATCTTAGCTACCTTCCCTGCATCCCTAACACTCGCCCATAATTTATCCTCAAAACAGATAAGCCATTCCTGGATAAAAAGGAACTGACCACAGAACTACATAATATTGTCACTGCTTCTGTTGCAAGATGAAGGTGTGAGCTAAGATTTTACTGAACACTTTCTTTTTTTCCTCTCTGCTTTAGTTCAGTGCTTCTCATCCCTGGCTGCACCCTGAATCACCTAGGGAGCTTTCAAAAGTACCGAAGCCTGAGTCTCATCCCAGAGACTGGGATGTCGTTGGTCTGGAGTGGGGCATCAGAATTTTTAAGAGCCTCCTGGTGATTCTAATGCGTGGCCAGGATTGAGGCCACAGCCTCAGTCACAAAGTATGTGAATCAGGTTTATGATTAGTACCAAGATCCATCCAAACCAGTGGGTCCTGGCTGTAGGAATCACATGGGAAGCTTTTTTAAAATGCTCATCTCCCTCCCCCGCCACCCCTGCCACCTGCCCTCAGAGATTATGATTTGCGGGTGGGGTCTAGGCATGGGTATTTTTTTAAAGGTTTCCAAATGATTTATTTTGTGCAGCCAAGGTTGAAAATCCACTGATACAAATAGACAACACAGTTTTGCTGGAGAAGTGATTCCATTTTTTCAATATTTAGAAAAAATTAGAAAATTTGATCGCTAATGTTTTCCTAAAATTGCCAAAAGCATTTAAGATTGAAAATCTGATAATTGTAAAGTTAGGTGATTTTAGAAGCACGAGAGTAATCCACCCCACCCTTTGCTCCATTTAATATCTTCCTGGTAGAGACAAACAGTGTCACTATGACAAATGTCACTATGAAGTAAATTCACAGTAGGGTTCATTGAGGATTCTTTTTCTCCTTATGAGGTTGCTTATTTTTACTCTAATTTTTTTTTTTTAATCTAGGCCAGCTTTCATGCTTTTAGGACATTTGATAACTTATTTTGCTCACCTTCTCCCCACGCTGTGGGGGGAGGTCATCAGTCACAGCGCCATTTGATGTGGTCCATCATCATCACCATCACTACTGTCGTCTCACGTAACCCTTTGCGAGCATGATCTTATGCTGTCCTCCTTTTACAGATGAAGAAACAGGTTCGGAGAGGCTAAGTTCATCAAAGTCACAAAACAAATATGTTTATGGTCCCTTTCAAACCAGTGATCTATGGGGGGGCGCGGGGGGGGCACGGTGGGGCTTTGTTCCTGCCACAGTGACCCTTTGACCAGGCATCCCTGGAGGCCTGTGGGCCTGCGGAGGACAAGAGAACTCATCCCCAGGGTCAGCCCTCGGGCCCAGGGCTAGGCACACCGGGGCACCCCTCAGGCAGACAACAAGAGGAAGCCATGGCCACTGCCCCACAGAGGCCGAGTGGAGGTCCGTGAGGAAAATGATTATTCACACATCAGAGTTCAGAGAGCCAGCTAATATTCAAAGTAGGGTCAACTTGAAGTAGGAGCTTCCAGGTAAGTAAAATAAAATGAGTCCCCACCTTTAATGATCAACTGTTTGTGCCAGGCTTATTTTAGGTAGGTAACATCTAGTTACCTCAGCAATTCTGAGAAGTAGGTGGGTTTAGTCCCATTTTACAGATGGGGAAATGGAGGCTCTGAAAGGGTCAGTAACATCCGCAGAGTCCTACAGTTGGAAAATAAGAGGTGAGACTCAACACCTACTTCAGTCTGATGCGAGATTCCAGAATGACTAATCCTCAGACTTGAAGCTTACCAAAACCAAAGCAGACAATAATGGAAACACAGAGCCCAGCTAGGTCCTAAGAAGACTCTACTGAGTCTCTGAGATCGTCAGGAAGGACTTTGGGCCAGACTGAAATGTATTTATCCATCCACTCCTTCCATTGTTCCTGAATTCAGCTGACTTAAGGTAAGCAGTTCCTGAGGACTGAGAATATAAGGATGAATTGAAGGAGCTCACAGTTCACAGAAGAACAGCTAATGTTGATTGGGCCCTTTCTGTAGATGGGCCAGTGCTAAGCCTTTCCATGAATCCTCAGTGCTTAAGGGGTGGGTGCGGTCATCAACCCCCATTCTGCAGATGAGGAAACTGGAGGCAGATTGCTTAAGGAGCCCACCAGGATTCCACAGCTACTAGCTGGAAGCAGAATTCCAACCACGCAGTCCAGTTCTAAAGCTTAACCTTAACACTCTGCCTTCGCCCAGTGATAATCAGCACTGGGCCACAGCATTTGGCAGGGTAGAAGCGCTTCCCTGGTCTGGTGATGCTCGGCAGGGAGGTCGGCATTAGCTTCCACGATGACCAATAAACAGATAAGGTCAGTGAAGCTCTGAGAGTGTCAGTGACTCATCCGAGGTCACACAGCCAAGAAAACCTAAACTCATAACCCACCAAGTCTAGCTGCAAAGCACCTGCTTTTCTACCAGGCACTGCCTCCTCCCAAACACAGCCCTCGTAAATGTACAATTCAGTAGGTGGAAGGTGGAAGATTGCACTGATACAAGACGTGACTACCTGTGTTGGATCAGGTATGTCTTGATTTGCACACTGATTGCTAAAAGAGCTAGGCGGAGATGGTGTAAGTCTAACCAGACCTGAAATGCTAACACCAAATGAGACTTACTCCGTCCTGCCCACTGTTCAGTGCACTTTGCACACATAGCTCCTTCAGTCCTCGTGACCACTCTGAGAGGCACGCACGATCACCCCCCCTCATGACGCAGGTGCTGAGTCATCTGCACAGAGACCTGTTGACCGCCCCCCCTTCCAGGGTCACCCAGCTGGCCTGTGGGGGAGCCAGGATTCAGCCCCGGCAGCCTGGCTCCAAGCCAGACTCTTGGTTCTCACTCCGTGGAGTCCTGAAATACTAGTGAGCTGTGGGCCATGCACTGTGTAGTAGCTCACCTACCTAGGGTAGGCATTATCCTGGCTTTACAAAAGAAAGGTTTCATTTTGAACTCAGGTCTGTCTGATTCTCATAGCCCATGTCCTTAATCTCTACTCAACTTTTTTTTAAGTGAGGTATTAAAAGACAATGTTAAAAGAGTAAAACCATGCTCATTTACCCCTTCCACCCGGGCTCACAGAAGGCAGTGGATGGCCAAGAGGACCCTATCACATCCGCTTTCCATCCCAGCCCCCAGCACATAGTATAGGCCCCCCACAAACATTTGTGGAACAAGCTACCTACCTAAAACGGACAAAAGCAGGTGGAGAGTTGAAAACTGAGACCCCCGGGTGGCTTTGGGGGGACAGACACACCCTGAGCCCTTGTGTTTGCAATGCAGGCATCATCACAGTGAACTGCTCAGATCTCTGCCCCAGACGGAAGGCCAGGACCACGGCAGGGCTCGCTCCGTGGCCCCCACAGGTGGGTGCGGACCCTCTTGTCCCTGGGAGGGGGAGAGGTCAAGGATTCACGGGACCCACTCCCAAGCACGGATAAGGATTCTGAGGCCTGCCTGGGGGTGGTGGCACTTCCCAGGTTGAAAAGTCAAATTCAACACTCCGCCACCATCCCTTGTAAATCGGGTTGCTAATTTAGGATTTTCTGCTCCAAAGGGGTTTACCTACTCTTGTGACTTGTGCTTGTGACGGGGATTACAGTCAGGGCTACACAGGGATAAACCGGTGGGTGATGCTGGGTTCTTTTAAAAGCCTGAGCCTTTCTGAGTACAAATATGCTACTCTGACCCTCAAACAAAAACCTCTTTTTAGGGGCATTTCAGTCCATATGGACTGTCCTTTCAATTTGTAACCCTGGGTTTCTACCCTGTTGTTAACTCCTGGTATTGGTAGAATCTTACAAGTTGTTGCTTCGAAGTATCTTCCCTCTCTAATGGCAGCCCAGGTACTAGGGGTCAAGTGCACAGGCCCCTCATGCAAATAAACCAGAGCCCCTGGTGATGCAAAGGCAGGATGTGACATGGTCTGAGAATCACTGGTCCCGCCTGGCTGAAATCCAGCAGGCCCGTCTGTGGGGTTTCCTACTGCCGGTCTCCCAACTGTGGGTGGTGGGATACCAGTTCCAGATCAGAAGGGCTCAGGAATGTCCCAGGTAAACCAACCTAAAATGGTTTCTTTCCTGCAGGACTTTTCAGAGCCTTTACTATGATCATGTGCATTGTGACTCTCCAAGAAAGGGAACTAGCTTGTGGCCATTATCACTTTTTAATCATGGGACCCTTTTCAACACGTATTGGTGCCCCCTAGAACACAGTCTCCCACCCCCCCAGAACATAGACGCTCTTCTAAAAGAACTCGAAAATGCCACCAGGCCCTAAAGGTTTCATGCAGCAGTCCCCAAATGCTGGTTAAAGGATCACTCATGGCAGAATCACCTGTGAGCTGTATAGTAATTCCCAGGCCACACCCCACACCTTCTAAGTGGGAATGGGGCCTGGGAATCTGGATATTTAACAGGCACGCTGGGATTTGCTTTCTAGCCAGTTGGAGGAACTGCACTAGAGTAGGAATCTAAGAAAGGAGGAATTACAGCATCTCCTAATATAATCAGCTTTACAATGTTCACTGTATTCCTCTGGTCTGTCTGCCTCTCTTTCCCCGTCTCCCAGTCATGAGCACGGGCAGCGTTCATTCTCAGCCTCTGCCTTCTTTCTGGAGCATCTCTGGCTCAGCAACTACTACAGAGTTAAAGAGACACCGATGATCACCTCCCCAGGCCGGGCTCTGGACTCAGGCGGAAAACAAAGATAGCCTGCTCCGCGCCCCTCCCCCTCCGCCTGCCACCGCCCCTGCCCTAAGGCTAGAGACAGGCTGTGAATGGTGGGGAGTCCAGGCATGCATTAGGAAGGCTGCCTGGAGGAGGAGACACTGGTACCAAGACTCATAGGATCAGAGTACCTTATCTGGGATTAGGGGCAATTTCTGGGCAGAGGAGCAGCTGGGCAAGGCACAGAGGCAGGAAGCAGCATAGGTGCTGGGCATTCCTTGCTGCTGGAGAATGCTGGAGCTTCCAGTGACAGTCAGGGAGCCTCTAGTGATGTGGGCGGGATGGCACACAGAGGCTTTCAGCCTCTCATACTTCCCCTCTCTGCACCTGCTTCCAGAATCTCTGCCTCAGCTCTTTGCCTGGATGCCCCTCTCCCCCCCCTTCCCTTTGACTCCCCTTTTGAAAACCTATCTGTCCTGTTAGGGCCCAAGTTGGACCCATGTTCCTGTGAAACTGGTGCCAGCTGCTTTCACGGAGATGGGCTCTTCCCCTCCCTTGGCCAAAGCTCACCCACATTCTTTTCAAATTTATTTTTCTAGGGGCTACTCTGCTTGGCCCTATAATGTTGGGAGTTTGTTCTTTATCCCCTTTCTTGCTATTCAGACCCTGAGTCCTGCTCATCTTTTCTCCCCTAAAGTAGCTGTTAAAATAGAGAGTTTATGTTGAATGAAAAGTGGGCTTTTCAATTTACCAAAATATATTAGGGGCTTTAAAAATGCTCATGTCCTTTGCTTGATATATTCCCCTTCTAGGAATCAGACTGTGGAAATAATTAGAAATTGGGACAAAGATTTATGTAGAAAGATGCTTATCACAGCAGTTTTTAAGCAGAAAATAAAAGCAACCTCCATGTTTAAGTATAAGGGAATGTTTAAGTAAATTATTCTGTATACATAGTATGAATAATTGAGACAAAAGGTTTTTGGAGAAAGGCTTATGAGAAAAAAAAAAGAAAATCAGGATATGAGCCTGTGTATATAATGTCAAGTATATAAAAAAAAATGTAAATATACTTGCACATCTTTTGCATGTCTAAATCAATAGAAAAAAACAAAAAATACATGAAAATATTGAGTTTTTGTAGAAAGCAGAATTGTTTTCTACCGTAAATATGTATTTTCCATACATTTTATAATTGACACAGATTTCACGTTTGTAATCAGAGAAAAAAATAACAACACTAGAGCAATTAAGAAGACAGCGGAGTTCTTCCTCAGCATAAATCCGGCTTCTGACCAGGTGGCTTGTATGTTACAGTGACGTATTTGTAAAGGACCTTTTTGTGTGCTTTGTATTTTGTTGCGCACTCATCTCCCCTGGGACTGCAGATTACGGGCTGAGCTCAGCATGTTCTGGCAGCCAGAGCCCTGCTTTGCCCATCACTCCCGTGATTTGTGGTCCTCCTTGGACTGACCCAGTCATGCAGACAGCCCAGTTCTGGGCTGCTTGGGTGTGACACTTTGGGATGGATGATGCCTCGGTTGGCCCTCTAACAGCCCGACAGTGTGTGTCTTTTGTGCAGGTGGTCCCTGCCCTTGACTGATGAGGCTGAGCACGGCTCAGCAGCCTTCCGAGGATTCCCTTTCCACACAACCAGAGCAAGCACCCCCCCACACACACACACCGATTCCATCTTGCACTGATCTGTTCCACGGTGGCCTTGTCTGGTTAATCTGGGCGCCACCCTTTAATACCTGGCTTCAGCTCTGGTGTCCTGTTCACCCAGAAGTCTCACACTCCTGAGTGTGTTTTCATGGCCACAAATTCACATTGCATTCAGTCTGTCACTCAGTTTCCAGAACTTCCACAGGAGGTCATCCCCATTTTATAACAGAGGAAGCCAGGCTGGCTGCTAGAACTCTCCCAGGCTTCCAGCAGCTCTGAAACTGGAACCCAGGGCTGATTGACCTCAGGGCTGGGTGTTCTTGATATAAAGAGTTAGGGCAGCTGGACATCCAAAGAAAAAGGTCCCGGTGGCACTTCCCTCACTTTCCATGTAAATCTCTGCTTTTAAAGCCTGTGGCTATTCCAAGAAAGCACACTGCCCCCCAAAATGCCCACAGATATCTGATGTATGTCACTACATCGTGGTTAAGACGAATCAAATCGGCAGCCTTTATTCAACACCTCAGACTTACGTACTTGGACTTGGACAGTCCGTACCCAATGTGAAGAGTTTGTAGCAGTGATGTGAATGGATTTGAAAGAGATACGTAATGGTCTCTGAGGACTGCCCAGAGTGGGAGTCTAAGGCATGTGTTGCCAGAAGTCATTACCCCACAGACATGCCTTTGATTTGGGGGATGGGAAGGTGTCAGCACTTGTCCCCTGTAGGCAAGAGCTCACGGTGAATTATATTCCTGTCACTGTTAATAAATCAAACAGTGTCTAATATTGAAGCCATTGTGTGGAAACTGCCCGCACAAAAATCCACTGGGAGAGGAAGGGGGTATCTTCTGTTCTTTGGGAGGAGGGTGTGCTCCAGGCCTCAGGAGACCCTACAATTAAATGCCCATTGTTTAACCTCCCCCATAGGAAGAGCACATAAGAATCATCCATTAGTTTAAAAGGTCAAAAGCTGGTTTCTTGCTATCTTACAATAGTTGAATAAATAAGATACTGGAGTAGAACCTTACAGATGCAAAATAGTCCAACTCCACGTATGTTGTGAGCAATGGGACCAGCCCAAAGTAGTGAAAAGTGTGAGTTATTGAATAATTTTTAAACGCAGTTTTATTGACTTTAAAAATACTCCCTAAGTGTTGAATAGATGCGTCAATGAATGGGTTAGTGGATAAGTAGGTGGGTAGGTGGGTAGGTGGATGGGTGGATGGATGGATGGATGGATGGTAGTTAACACCTATCACACTTACTCTGTTCCGAGCACTGATCTAAGTACTTTATATTTATAAGCTCATTCAATTATAAAATAATCCTATGAGATAAGGACTCTCAATATGCTCATTTTAAAGTTGAGGTCACACAGCTGTTGAACGGCAGAGCCAGGATTTGAATCTAAGGTGTTGGGCTTTAAAGTCCTAGTTCTTAACCATGGACAGTTCATGAATACATGCATCGATGTTTGGATATCATTTCATTATACCAATATTATGCTGCTAGAGTGTTTGAAAAGTCTGTTTCTGTAATTTTCTCTGCTGCTTCAAAAATCAGTAAACAAGTCCAGTGCCCACTGTTTCATGGATGGGGAAACTGAGGCCCAGGGAAGGATGGATCAGACCCACAGCAGCCCGTGCCCGACTGAGGCTGAATTCAGACCTCCCCATGACCCCTCCAGTTTCTCACTTTCCATTCCACAGCCGGTCTGGTGCTCCTTTATAAACTCCTCTCTCCGATCCATGTCCAGATTCCTTCCAAGTTTCCACAAAAGAGGAACCTCCACTGACCATTTACATCAGCTCTTTCCCCAGCAGCTGGTATCCCTGAAACTCCTCCCAGCTGAGGTTTCAAGGTGACTGAGAGCTGCCAGCGCTGTAGGAACACAGCCTTTGCCATATACTGGAGCTAGACTCGGCTTCCAGAAGGACTGGAGATCCTAGTGGCTGCTTCTAGCATGAACTTGCTTTTTCTCCTTTCCAGATTAGCCCATTCCAAAGGGATAGGACCTTGAAGAGGGCCAGGAAAATCCAGGAAGGGCTTCTGGGCTCTGATGCATATACAATTCCCCGCCAGCAGGAGGCGGCAGAGCCCAGCAGTTACAAATGCCCCCCCGACCCCACCCCCGTGGCTGGCTGGCTTGAATCCTGCCGCCTCCTCCTAGACAGTGACCTTAGGCAGATATCCCTCTCCGCAGACCGCTCCAGAGACCCCGCACAACAGTAACACCTACCTCATGAAATTGTTCTGAGGATCAAATGAGATTAAACCCATAAAGTGCTTAGCGATGGTGCTCACATTGAGCACCCAGTAAACGTTAGGCATCCTTTTATCATCACAACCATCGTTCTGTTAGAACAAATGCCAAAGGATTATCCACACTGATCAGTTGTTCTAGAGCTTTGTTATGTTGAAAACAGATGAAAAGGTCACTAGCTGTTGATTATCCAAAGAACCTATAAAGGTTCTTGCTGAGATTTTACTTATAGAAGAACCAGGTGTTAGGGCTGAAATAGATTGTGAGAAAGGCGGTGACTTGCCTGAGGCCCACAGCTTGCTGGTACTAGGGATTTTACAACCTTACCTTCTATCAGAAGACGGGTTCACAGCCGCCTTTGGACCACTCTGCCATGGGGTCCAGCCACCGCAGACAGACTTTGGTATAATACTGGAAACAAACAAACAAAGCTGTTGTGTGTTTCTTGGCACTTTGCCAATATTAAACAAAAGATTTCTTGATTAAATTATTACCACTGTATGTCCCTGGAGTAGCTTCAGATTCACTTACATGCTTTTTCTTTTGCAGTCATGAACACACATTGAGTTCCCAGTACATTCCAAGAAAAGCATCTTGTGCAATTTTCAAACGTAATATGATGTTATCTTTACTGGCCATGGCCCTTCTGTAACCTTGTTGGGCTCCACCCTTGTTTTTCCAGCTGTGCCCGAGCTGAAGCTCCTCTGCGGGGCAGATGTCTTGAAGACCTTCCAGACCCCCAACCTCTGGAAAGATGCACACATCCAGGAGATAGTGGAGAAGTTTGGCGTGGTGTGTGTGAGCCGGACAGGTCACAACCCAAAGGAATACATCTCAGGTTCGCCCATCCTGCACCGCTACCAGCACAACATTCACCTGGTCAGGGAGCCCGTGCAGAATGAGCTCAGCTCTACGTACATCAGGCGGGCCCTGAGCCAGGGGCGCAGCGTCAAGTACCTGCTCCCAGACGCTGTCATCAGCTACATCAAGGACCACAACCTCTACACCAGGGACAGTTCCTGGAAAGGCAGCAGCACCCAGAGGAATGAAGGAAAGACAGACTAGGGAGAGTTAGCCACTCCTCCACAGAGCTTCTCCTGACGAAAGGGCAGTTAAGGTCTTTGCCTTTTTCTTTTTAAGGCAATGAGTTTATTTCAGAGGAGTCTTCTGGCCCAGGAAGAGATAGCTTCTTTTGGGAGAAGGAGCAAGTGCCTGTATGTCAAAGCAGTTAAAAGGGCGTGGCAGGTCACTAGAACTAGAGGACAGCTCTCAGAACCTGTCGCTGCAGAGGCCTCCTTATTTGGTAACCGGTGACTCGGGCATGCGCATTGAAGGCAGTTCTGCGCCAGGCAGGGCCCCTGAGGGTCAGATCAGAACTGCCCACACGCGTTTGCTAACTAGGACCAGGTGCAGCATGCTGGTCTTGATTAGAGAGACTTGACAGGACGCTAATTACCAAACAGTGGGCTTTGTCAACGCCTCATTCCAACAGAATAATACTAATTGAGGAGTCAGAAATTTGGAAGCTGCTCTTTGCCGATTTACATTGAATCTTCCCTCAAGAACCACCGTCTGCCTGCCTAAGCTGTATATACCATTTAAACTAAAATCTTTCTAAGGAATGACCCTCAAACAATATTTTTGATACAGCAGATATCTTTAACACGACTTCTTTTATAAGTGCCAGGGCTCCTGATTTCCAGGTTTCTAAAAAGGAACTGAGGTAAAACAGATGCCTTGGCTGTTTTAGAGGATCTTTTTGAATGTTTTATGACTGCCTGCCTGTTTGAATATTGGCAAAGGGATAAATAATAAATTGACATCAAAAAATGCTAATGAAAAGTCTCTTTTTTCTTCCTTTGTTATATATATATATTTTAAAGATTTTGTTTATTTGACAGAGAGAGACACAGCGAGAGAGGGAACACAAGCAGGGAGAGTGGGAGAGGGAGAAGCAGGCTTCCCGCAGAGCGGGGAGCCCGACACGGGGCTCGATCCCAGGACCCTGGGATCATGACCTGAGCTGAAGGCAGACGCTTAACAACTGAGCCACCCAGGCCTTATGTATAGTTGTTGCTCTTCTTTTTAGCTACCCCGTGAAACTGGCTACTGTACCAATACAACTGACAGGAATTTAAAAGTTTCTATTTCCAGCTACTAGCAGTGGAGGAAGCAGCTGCTTTTCAACACCCTGTAAAGAGTGCTCTAATCGGAAGCGCTAGGCCGAGGGCTCTGTTCAGGTGGGCCCTAAAGGATGACAAAGAGGAGCTTCACATGTGTTCAGGATCTATCATTCCACTCCTCCTCAAGAGGAGGTTTTAATTGGCCTAATTCTGTTCGAGTTTACTCTTTAGACCTGCTCACTGAATGACCGAATGCATTCAGAATGTACTTCTCCATACTTTTACCCTGGTTCGTCCTTGCTGCAGATGTAGTCATGCAGAAAAACAAAGGGCCAGCCAGAAGAACCTGCTCTCTCCCCAAACATATCCCAGCGTTCCTGTGGGTGTCCTGATAGCCAGGAGTAAAGTAGGCAATCAGGATTTCCTGGGGCTAGAGTACCGGGGGGTCCCCAGGCCCCCACCCCTGCAACCTCTAATGCTGCTAGCCATTCCCCACCCTGACTGTGCTCTGCACCCCAAGGGGTCTCTAAGAACCTTGATAATGCAGGGGAATAGGAATCAAACAGCCTTGTCCACAGCAAGCTGTGTGATTTGGACCAGCTCCCTTCCCTACTGCAAGTCTCGGTTTCTCAAACTCTGAAATGCGGCAGTTTGACTAGAGAGTCTCTCAGTTCTCTTCTAGCTCTGATCTCCTGAGGCTCTGAATGCCTTCCTTCAGCCTGCCCACCCTTCTTTGGGTCCAATTCACTTCTGGCCACACTGGAAGTTCTCCAAGGGCAGAGGGTCTCTGTTTTGTTTGCTGATGTATCCGAAGTGCCAAGAAATTTGCTGTCCCAAACACGGTCGCAGGACGCAGTGTTTGCGTCCTCCGGGAGCTGGACAGAAATGCAAACTCTCAGCTCCAACCCAGACCTACTGACTCAGAATCTGCAATTTAATAAAATTCCCAAGCCATTCAATGTACGGGCTGAGAACTATGCCTGTTACAATAAATATTAGCTTTACTTTTAATAGACTGAATATATGATTGAAATATATGATTGCATCACGTTTACTCTGGTGAATATCTTCCACTTTACCCTCTGAGCAACATTTTCCCACTGTTCTATATGGAGTATAGAAAGAACACAGCTGTAGTATCCAGAAAAAGGGGGTAGTGAGGGATCCTATGGGTTTGAAGCAGGGTTTCTCAACTTGAGCCATATTGACATTCCGGGCCAGATCATCCTTTCCTGTGAGGGGTTTCCCTGTGCAATTAGGATGCTGAACAGCATCCCCAGCCTCTCTCCATTAGGTGCTAGGAGTACCCACCACCACCTCTAAATATAACAACAAAAATGCCCCCTAGACTTTGCCAAATGCCCCCTGGGGCACAAAATAGTCACCCTGGTTGAGACCCACTGGTTTAAGGATATGGCTGAGGGTGGGGGTATGTACACGAGGAGGGGTTCCTGCATTTCTCAACAGGGCAATTGAGCAGAGAGCAGCTTTAGAATACTACCTTCTTACAAAGGACTAGTTTGAGAGGTGTTCCCACCACTCAGGAAGTCGTGTTTATTCTGGGGGACGCAGTGCTACTGATGGTGGGAATTAGAAGCCACGCCCTTGACTCAGAGGCACCCCCAACTCCAGTCTCCAGAGTGGGCTTCTCTCCCGTGTGTTTACAGGCTGAGACTTCAGCATGTCCTGTGCCCTCCGTACTGACATCCACAGCCTGGCAAGTAGAGACTCAAGGAGTGGAAGCTAGAAGTCTTGTGATTATAATTTTTGTGCTTCAAAATTCAGGGTTCATGTATTTGAATCATTTTTTGTGCACCTGTCATGTACCAAGCACTAGACAACACTAGGAATATAATGATGAATAAAATAGACTGTCTCTCCTCTCGTGAAGCTTACAGTCTTGTGGAAAGGCAGAGGGGAATCAAATATTCCCATGACCAAACATCTGATTACAGACCGGGATGAGGGTTCTGAAGGCCAACACGCAGCGTGCCCTGTAGCCAGAGGCCCAGGTTCACCGTGAAGTTAATGAAACTGAAGCCCTAGACCTTCACTTGCCCGGGCCCTTTTCAACACCCTGGGGTAGGGGAGGGTGCCTAAACATGTGGGTATCTAAGTTCACATTCATGATTTTTATTCCTTTTCTGAAAAGTCACCTTCAAAATTGTACAAAACATAGACTCCATAAAACATCAGGGATTCTCCCTGATGACAGAATATAGAGAGCAGGGAATGAGGATGGATGTGAGACCTGAAAGATGAATTCACAAGACGTGGGGATGGATGGAGGCAGCTGGGCTTTTGGGCAGAATAAACAACATATGCAAAGGCCCTGAGGCAGAAGAGGGCAAAAGGAGCAGCATGATGAGCTGGATTCATCATCAACTCCTTAAGGAAGGGGTTCACTATTGCAGTGTGCCCCTCATAGCAGGCATCCTGGAACACCAGCATCTCCCTGTCCCCCCTCCCCATAGGTTCAGGACACCACACCCAACTGGGCTTGCAGGAGATGCCCTCATCCTTCTGATGCATGGTGGTGTCATGTGGCTCCCACCAGTGCTGAGGCTTTACATTGTCTGCTTCTAAAATAACACAACCTACTTTATAATAAAGTAAATGCACACACACACACACACACACATTTTTTTCAATTTCTGGACTCTTACTTTGTCTCATTGATTCATGTAGCCTTCTTTTTTTAGTATCAGAAGGGAAAACAGGTATCACCGCTGTGCTCCTGATTTATTGCGTTGACACTGCCCCGCATACCTGATCTCACATTCCTTTCCGTTCCCTCAGGTCTTCTTTGCATCTAGTGTGCCAAGGTGTTTTGTTTATTTTGCAAGAACAGAAAAACAGTGTTTTGGCCTCCTGGGTAAATAGAATTTCCAGCCTTAAATAAAGGTTCTCCCATGCTAGCAGATGCTGGCCAAATGAGAGAAGCTCTGCATCCCAGCCTGAGGAAAGAATTTTTCACTTATGATACTGTCTGTCACTTGGGACAGAATGATGCAAAATCCCATTTTAAACCAATAGTGCACCAGACTTGCAAGGCACGTTTGGTAATTGGGTTAATACACCAACATGAATTTCTTCAGTCCTGCCCTCTGTCTGCCAACAGTGTTTCTGCCTTCACTTTTGGCAAGGGTCTCCATGCACAGACTGTGCCCGATTTCAGTCATGAAGTTATTTTCTTAAACCAGAGCTCAGCATTATAGACACACAAGCATGATTAACAAACAATCTATAATAATGCATGTAGGGCGCACACCTCAGAAGATTTTAGAATTGTTAAAATAGCCCCAGAAAGTCTTGCTCATGGCACCAGAGCCTATGAAATCTGGAAGGAACCCTAGTATTCTTTGGATCCTGCCTTTCTCAAATTATCAGAACGCTGAAATCCCACAATTTAATGGGAGTGTCAGTATTAAAAACAAAAAGAATATGGTGTCCTGAGGACAGGTTGGAGAGCCCAGCTTTCCTTCTGGTGAAATCCAGTCAGTCTTACTTTCCATGCATTCCTCACACGCAGCCTCTTCTCTCCAACCCTCCTGATATCCCCCAGCCCAGACCACCATCATCTCTTAGCCAGACTCCTGTCGCGGGTCTCCCCAACCCACACTTACAAAGCAGAGCAGCTTTGTGATTGTGCACAAATCTGATCATAATACCTCCCTGCCCAAATTCCTCCCACGACACCATTAAGAAAATGGAAGACAAGTCACAGACTTGAAGAACACATTTACAAAATGTGTATCTAATAAATGACTCATGTCCAGACTATGTAAAGATCTCTAACAATTCAAAAATAAAAAGACTAAAAATCCGATTAAAAGATGATCCAAAGATTGAACTAGACCCGTGTAGGAGAAGGTTAACACAGCAGGACCGATACGGCTGTTGAGAAAGGCCTGCTCCTGAGGCTGGCCCTTGGCTGGAATCTGAGAAACTGGCTTTTGGAATAGTGCCTACGATTCTAACTGATAAGGCTGTTTTGTCTACCTGGGGCACGGA